CTTTTTTTTCTGAAAATTTTTGTACGAAAGTCGTAATAGTAGCCCCTTCATAATACAAGCCCCCCCTAAAAATTTTGAACACTTGGACAGTTTAGAAGCCCCGGAGGCTTCTGTTATGGGGGGGGGGGGGTTCCTAAAAAAAAGGGTTGTTTGCNCCCCCCCCCCCCCCCCCCCCCCCCCCCCCCCCCCCCCCCCCCCCCCCCCCCCCCCCCCCCCCCCCCCCCCCCCCCCCCCCCCCCCCCCCCCCCCCCCCCCCCCCCCCCCCCACGAAAAAATACTGGTGATAGACGATTAAATAATCAGTCCTTCTTCATTCATATTATTGACAACACACAAATGCATTGAATATGGGAAATGTTGATGAATCTTCTTCGCCTATGGACTCTCAGATGTCCTATGGAAAACCGCCGTAAGAAAAAAGATGAATTCAGATTTTTAAATAATCAGTTTATCATATGCTATTAAGAAGTTATTCGAAAAACAACCGAATACTGTAATGAATAACTCTCTTAACTTTGTCGTTTGTCACATAACTTGAACGATAGTCTTTTGCGAAGAGGAACGATCGTCAAAACTAAAGATTTCGATTTATTACGAATCAAAAAAGGTAAAAAACATGCAAAAACAGTCAAAACTAATCAAAGTCAACATATTTTCATACATACTTTACTGTTTGAGAAAGTGTATAATCACAATATCATGAAAAGATTTCACTTGCTTTTTTCATATTTCTTCGATGTTATTTTTAACCATTTATGCACTGACACTAAACTGGTTAATTCATTAATATCCGCTTTATATTCATCCTGTTGTCTCATATCATATTCCCATAATAATGAACCGGATGTTCTACCATGTGCACATATAAACGGCATTTTACAATCCCTTAATTCTTGTAACAGAGTTTTACATTCAGTTTTCGATAAATAATCATTAAATTTAATTGCATTATGACATGCGAGCGATTTTAATGTTTCATACATCACTCCATTGTTTGTTGTTTCTAATAGAATATCTTCGATACATTGTTCAATAATGACATCAATTGATTTATCATTATGATGACAACGACGGCGTTGTCCCATTGTTAACAGCCATCCAGGTACACAACGAACAAGTAAACCATTGACGGTTAACAATAAATCAAAGCCGACATTTTTAAGTAACTGAATCTGATCTTGTGTAAACAAAAATTTTGGATTATATTTGATAAATTTTGGATTTAAAAATGTGAATTGCTGTATATGATTTGATTGTGAAAAATATTCTTGTAAATTTTCAAGTAAAATTCGTTCAGATAATGCATGCTGATCAAACACAATTAAATGTTGTTTGTGATTTTCAATGTATTTACATATTAAAAATTTACAATCAAATTGTCCGATGAGGTGACATTGTTTCAATATATGAACATTTAATGTTGGTTGAGTTGATAGTTTTATTATAGATAATTGAGGTATGGATAGTGGTTTACATTGTTGACTATATAAATATTGTTCGTTTTTGAAACGTTTTGATTGTGATTTTCGATAGAATTCTGATGATGATTGAAAAACACTTTTTTGTTGTTTATGCAATAACAATTGCTTCAAATATAATGTTGACGCATTTTCAAGTGATTTTTTTTGATTTTTTTTATGTATCGTTAATGGTTCAATATGTTCATTGAACTTTTCACGTGCTGCTAAATAAGCAGATAACATCTAAAAGCAAAAAAATATTCTGCAAAAAACTGATAAGCAAACCTAATAATTCTAATTATTGTTATTTGGTTGATTCAGATATTAGTAATCTTAGAAACTATTGTCTTGAATTTAAGCAAGGACATCTAATTTACAATAATAAAAGGTCATCAGACAGATGTACCAGCGAAAAAAGGTAAACAGGATCAACAGGTAAATCGATGATGATCTCAAGAAATATTAGAATAGTTCAATATTTCGCGCGTCAGTCTTTTACGCTCTTCAAAAGCAAGATACGTTTTCGTGTTTCAGTGTAATGCATTTAGGTTTACTAGTTTTTTTTTAGTAGCTAATGGAAATTGATGACAAATTACTCCTGACAAACTTTACTGCCGAAGCTAGTGCAGTATTAATACAATGACTGATGTAAATTTTCGAAATTATGATCAAGATTGTGATAGGCCTGATGCTGTTGCCGGTCGTTTAGCAGCATTAAGAAATATACATGTTCGAGAAGAAATTTGTAACGTTGCAAGAGCTTTACAAGCAAAATATAAGGAAAGAGTAAGTTTAGATTATGTAAAAATGCCCTATTAACGACACATTTTACGGCGCTAATTGCGATCTGTTTTAGTTACCAGTTCTCTATCTTGTTGCGACTGTATCTTACGAACAAGTCTGGAAGAGACAGGTATATAGCAGTAGTATTCTCTTCTTAAAGTATTAATAACTGAAATTTTTAGCCTTTATCACCAAACGATAAAATTCACCGAGATGCGGTCGGTTATGGTCTCATGTACTACGAGCAAAATATGTATCGCCTGGTATGTTATGTATTTGATGTTTTCTTACTTAGTCACCTAATTATCTATAGGTTAGAGTATGCTGGGACTAAAACTTAGGGACGAACTTAATCAGAAGTCTCGCAATGTTCAGATTGATGGTTCGGGCTTAATAGATCCTAAAACCATCGCAGCATTAGAATGAAAGCCTTCTACTTTTTCTTTTGCTGTAAAAACTTCTGCTTATTGGATGAAGGTTAATCCTAAGATCATCCACTGATCGTGACATTCCTGAGCTTAATCCAAGCGTATTGTTTAATTTTGATTGCCCTTCTTTCCTTATAAATCTTCTAATATCTAATGAGAAAAAAAGTGAAGAACGAAACGTATGGCTGACGGAGACTCTTCTGTATTCAGTTGTGTCCTGAATTCATCTATATGGTTTTTGTGAATGTAGGCGCAAGCCGAAGCACTGTCTGGCCTCTATCCACCACATGATGCCGTCAACTGTTGTGATCAAACATGTCCTATACATCATGAACAACCTTGGCAGAAAGAAGAGAAAGATCTGCCTCTATCGTTGATATCGAACGTAAAATCAGATTTGGTTAATCAAACAAAACGGTGGGACGAAAGCCTTTTTAGAACGTCAAATGAACGATCGATTCAAGATACTATAATACGATCAACAGAAATGAATACAGTACAAGTACAAGAGTTAAAAGATACTATTTCTGCAACATTTCTCACTGCTGTTTCAAATGATGTGGCTTCTGTCGATTCCAAAAATGCTGCATTATCAACGTTTAGCGGAAGCGATATTTCTCAACCGCAACCACCATTAGGGTCGATACCAATGCAGTCAAGAATCATTAAAAGTTTGGTAGATGCAATTATAGATGGGCAGAAAGGAGAAGAGCATGCTGCAAAGAAGAGCGTTGTGCCAAAAATCAAAATTGTTCGCCCTAACGAAGCTGATTCACCTGGCTATGACATTACGTTAGAAAGTCAAGTGATACCCACTGGGAAAGATGTCGATGTGACTATATTACAACAAAAATCAGCCGATGTACAGTCATCCAAAGAAAGTCTTTTATCAAAAGGTAGCAACAAAGAAAAAGGGATGAAAAAAAACTTAAAACCAGAACGACAAGGTATGGTAGTGTACAATTATTATGGACAGTATGAAAGGTCTTAGTATAGTAAGGTAATTAGCATTTTTTATTCTTCAATGCTTCAGTATTGTTATTTCAGAGAAGAAAACACAGCCGCGAAAAAAACATAACATGGAACATTCATCTAAAGTAAAGGTGATGAACAGTAATCAGAAAATCATGAAGAAGTTGCTCACTTTTTCCCGGCTGTTTTCAGAAGAAGAAAAAGCGATCTTCGAAGAAAGAAGAAGAGAAGAAAAACAGGTTAGTTTTTTGATTATAGATGATAAATACTCCAAAAAGCCTGCTTGTGTAGTGAAGACAAAACAAGAATACAATAAGATGATATTTATTCAGTTTCTGGCAGATCACTGAATCTCTTACCTTTTGTTATATTTCAGCACTAACTTCTTTGTTTTCAAGAAGTGCAGGAATCGAGTGTACTTTAGGTGTCTGTTTAGTCAATCTACTTCTATAACATTTCTAGTTTGTAGTATCGTCTTGAATAGTTAGATTTTTTGGCAAAAAGTCTAATGACTTATCACTAGTTGGCGTTGGAAATCCTAACATTTTCCAGCTAGTACGTCTTAACCACATTACAGGAGCCCCTCAAAGAAATCAAAACGAAGTAGCAGAACAAGACTAACACAGAAAGATGATAAGAAGAAGGATAAAAGCAAAAATTATACAGCCGATCAACCAATAGATTGTAGCACTTTTGAAATTCAAAAACAGTTTAGCAACGATAGTTTAAATACAATTAATGATGATCAATTCGATGAAAAAAACTTTGATATCAACAAACGTTAGTATACCGCTATTTTACATTCGTATTATATGAGAAAAACCATTAATAAATATATATAATCCATCTATTTTGCATTTGAGGAACTTAAAGAGTACAGTGACGGTATTTACAAAATATCTGATGCCTGCAGGACTATAAAACAATTGCTCAAATCATACCACACATGCCAAGAATACACTGACCAAAAGTGTTCCAATAGTGCTGGTACTTTTATTTAAAGAGAAACGTTACTCTCAGCGAGATTGTACCAATTGATTTATAACAATATGTGATGTTGGTTGATTATTCCTATGTATCAGCTTTGAGAGTGGGTCTGCGGATAAAAGGAAAGTACGCCTCTGTGCTGTGTGAAGTTTGCGTTTAATTTTTTTTCACTTGAAGACCAAGCGTAGACGAAAAGTCTAGTTGAATTTGATTATGGAACAGTTTAAGATGTCAGATTACAAAGCCCTACAGATGGACGCAGGATGTGGTCCGTCTATATCAACCACTAGTTAACTGATTTCGATGCTCTTCTACTAAACCGATCTTCATGTAGCTTAGCACTGTGTTTCTGTCCTCAAGCACACCAGTAAGGCTCTCAGCCCTTGGAAAGGAGATTTCACTATGTGCAAATTACAAGAACTTTTCCAAAATAAGAAGTATAGCACAAAATATATTATTTTGACAAAACAACAGGATAAAATTCAGATTAGGACGAATGAAAACGTAAAATCAGCAAAACAATGGATTAATAGCTTACCAAAATAAACCCCTTGATATCCCAGGCAAATTTCAGCATATTACCATAGTGCGCCACTCCTAATCATTCGTCGTTCACCTTCTTGTACCCAGATTTTTTCGCTTCATAGGTGAATAAGCATCAGGCTACTGGACGCATTCCACACAGACTTTATTCGTCAATAACACTTCATCAGATCGAAAAAATTCAGTCTCACTTCTTCACAGGCGTAAGCCGTTAAATAAAATGAATTTTTGGAAAGATCTACAATTGGTTTCGATAAAGGAAGATAATGATATCTGCTAGTTTGTGCCTGACAATTTCTTACCAAAATACTATTTGTTCTTTGTTTATGTATAGTACGTGTAGTCCATTTTTTTCTTTGTCCTTCTCTTAATGAAATATTTAACTGAATACGAATGTGTCGAGAAAAAATAGTATAACCGTTCTCTATTGATATTACATATCTACTATATCAGAAAAATAAGGAAAAAAATGGATAAAGACTGGAATCATTAGTAAAATCTAAGCGAGAAGTTTCATTTAGACCTAAAATTGAGACAGACTAAAGTAAAATACATTTACTATTCATTTCAAAATAGAAGGCGAGTTACGGTAACTTGAATAACTCTCGAATGGAAGTAGATAGCCATCTGCAGTTTTTGGTATTTGATAGAGGACAGTAGGGGCTATAATTCTATGGGAAAATCCAGTCTTCTGAAGAGGTCTAACACGGTGTAACTTTCGAAAAAAATGTCCGAGCCTGCCGTTCCAAAAATCTGCGTAGCAAAGTGCTGCTCTAAACACATGTGGATCTACAACAGATGCCGTTCCACAATCTGGCGTAAGTTCCAAGTCTCCATCTGCTGGGTTCTGGCACTACAGGCAATCTTCAGGGACCTACCTATCGGCTAAACCTGGAATCGGGAAACCTTGAAACACATGAAACATAGGTTTTCGAACACGAGGAATTTCGTAGTAATGTTTGTTTTGTTGTCGAGATTAAAAAGCTTTAAAGTATGACTTTTTTCAGAAAATTCGGATTTTTCCGCTGTGACCGTACTAAAATAAAAACCTTCTACTATCCGTTCATAAAAAGAATGATAAAAAATGACGAAAAAGCTTTTTAACAGAAAGAGCTAGAATGATGCGGTTTTCACTATCGAATAGAGGAGCTGATGGGAAGTGAAACTATGAAAAAATCAGATCTCCAGATGAGGTTTTCCATGCTAAACCTTTCAAAACGAAGTCCACTTTTAGGAAAAAAGTGATTTTTAATCTTAGAATGTTGATTCTATCCTCTGAAGTGTGCTCTTAAAACTGCACAAATTCCATCTCTCTATCTCTTTTGACTCGGGAGTTACAGACATTTTCCGAGGACCTATCTACCCTTCACAGTTTTGGCTTGGAAACTACAGAAAGAGATGGACTATAGGTTATTGACATCGCTGATCATCGTGGCAATGTTTATTTTCGTCCTCAAATCACAGAAAGTTCAGCTGAGTCAATTTTCTCAACATACATCTTTTCTCCTTTCGTTCTGTTTTGAAATGGATAGTCGTTTTCTGTATGTACTTGTAAATTGTTCATTCTTTTAAATACTGTTCTGGTGTATTTTGCTTTCCGGGTACATTTGTGATCCGATCAATGAAAATTTAGAACTAAGCATCTCCATATATTAATGAAGAATTGGTGTAGATCATTAAAGCACCGAAAATATGCTACCTTTCACAGGTCATTCTATGCACCGACAAGTATATCGCCACTGTGAGATCATGTTGTTGTCGTCTACTAGAGACTTACAATGTACCGGACTTTAAGGAAGGATTCGAGTTTCGTTTTCTTAACCCGTGCAGGCCTCGATCATATATATCATTTATCGATAACTTTCCCAGGGTAATAAAAAATACTACTTACAATTTCAGACAGAAATAATAGAGTAGATTGACACGTCATCGATGCCAGGCAGCGTCAATTACCGATGGCATGTCATGCGCAGTGGAATTGTTTTTGTAGCGGCAAGGGGGGGGGATGACATGCTTTTCTCTGGAAATGTTATTAAGTTCAATAATCTGTACAGGCATTTTCTAAAGCACCATCATTATTTAATTATAAAATTTTTATCGATTTTGTAAAAATAGAAAATTTATAGTGCTAAACTATTCATTAAAAACCAAAACAAATTGGACAAAAATAAGATAAATCTTAAAAAACGAGTATTTATAAAAAAGAGCGATGATAAACAAAAGACATATGACGACTATGTTTTCTGTTGCACAAACTTAATTTTTCAATATTTCACGATCGAGTGCTTGAATTTCATCAAGTTTGCAAATAAAAATACGTAAGACTTTTAATGAAAATTCATCCTGGAAAATAAGCATATGTAAGGAGACCATCGAAAGTCGTTTATGTTTTATCTCAATTTACCTAAGAACTGATCAGTTTAGATAAATTTCGCTTTTACTTTTTTATCCTTACTTCACGGTTGTAGGACTGACTAAGTCAGAAAATAGACAGTATTTTGCTTCATTTTTTTCATTCTTTTTGTAGTTTACCTGACAACTTTCGTCTGTCGTCTACATGATACTATCAAGATCATCTTGTGTTAAATTTTTCTAATATTCATTGTATTATCGTAGCCAGCCGTTGATATCGAATATGATTCTCGTTGTTTTTATTGTTCACATATCCGTCTAATATTCTCTATCATTTGACTACCACATTGAATCATTTCATCAATAAAACCCTAACAATAAATAATCATAAGTTTTTCTTATTCATTTATGCAAGATAGTTTTAAAACTACCGTGCCAGTTTCTCGTATTCACTTAATCGTTTATAAGTATAACTTAATTCATTATTCATTTTACTCAATGAAGCTTGAGTTTTCATATTAAAGGTGATTAATTGTTGTTTAGACCAAGGTCGACAATTAACTATTACATTGTTCAATTGTTCATACGACATTGACACAATTATTGTTCATTGTATCTTAACTTTGATTGAATATCATTAAAACGAAGTTTCTTATTAAATATAAAATAAAAATCATATCGTGATTAAGTGAAATTTATCAACAAAAACTTGTTTATGTATGGTGTATACAACAAAAACTTATTTATTCATTAATTCAAACGTAACGAATCGTTCATATTAATTGTTCAAAGATTATCAGTTCACTACAGAGCTGAGCAACTCCGGCTAGATACAATTCAAACTTTGTTTCAACTCCGAATTAAAATCTATTTGTTCTTTTTTCTTGCTGTTTTTTAATTTGTCCGTATAACGGTCATGTTTCCTTTTATAATAGTATACATAAAAAAAATCATCATAATAAATTAAAATTACATTTCAACAATGCTAATTTTGAAAGCATATTCTTCGTCGTAGTAGATGCTACGATATGATCGAAACCCAAAACCTGATTGTGAAAAAACACGCTCCACAGGAGCTGATGCAGTCGGGGTTGAAGAAATTTTTAACCGGAGTTTCGGAGTTGGAGTTGGCAAAATCTGTCATCAACTCAACTCCGGTCGTTTAAAAAGCAAACTCCAGCTCCGCAAAAATAGAGCTCAACTCCGGAATTGAGTTATCCAGCTCTGATTCACTACTATTCAAAGAGATACCAATACATGACTCAATTCTCTCTTATTAAGCTTTGTTACAAAATCATTGTAAAACAGTACGATCTTTTATAATTACAGTACGATTATAAAAGAATCTTGTACGACTGATAGTTATCAATTTTTGCAATTCTTCAAATGTCTGTGCATATCGAATATCTGTTGTTTCGTTATCTCTGGTTATTGCTTGTAATTGATGTCTGTATGACTCAATCTATAAACATGAAATCATCTAAGAACAAGCTAACTATTTTAAACGTAATGAAATAGCTAACGATTCTCACAATTTTTCATTTGTTTCATTTAATTTTGACCATTCATCATCAAGACTCTGTAAACAGTACATAATGTTACCCTTTAAAACCCAATGTCCTCTCAAATGGACAGTGGCATTATCATTATAACAAACTGAAGAAGCATTGTTTGAAAAAACTAATCTTATATCGGTTGTAGATTGCCTATCGAATGATAAAAAGATATTTTGTTGATGTTTTATGCTAGGTGAGATATTTAAATTTTAAGTTGAAGAATATTTTCGAAAAAATTTAATGTTTTTTGTGTATTTTAGGAAAAGTTTTCTTTTTTCTACAACTTTTTATTCAAGAACTTTTCAAAAATATGTAGGGAGGTGTGCTTTTTCAAATTATGTCAGCTGAAAAAATTATTGTTTAAACTGTAGGGTGCTGATGGTACCAAACGAAAGCTCATATTTTGCTGGATTTCGGGCTCGTTTTCTTGGTTATTCTTGATTTTCTTCACCATGTGAGTTCAATTTTCTGCCTCAACTTCCTCAAACTTAATGGTCTAAACTCAGATATGTTTGGTCTTTGACTTCTAACGAGAATTTTGGAAAAAATAAATTTTAAATTTAAATTATAAAAACTTAACTTTTTAAAAAAAGAAAAGTAATTTTTTTCGAGCATGAGACAGTCATATCGAGGTCTCATATGTTCCATTTTCATAAGCGGTTTACGCAAAACCAAGCATTGAAGCCTTAGAGACTCAAAGTTTTAACAACAAAATGAGGCAGATACGTACTGCTGTGTGCACAGGTATTACTGAATTAAAAATTCTAGATTTCTTTCAAATAAATTCTTCTATTTATAGTGAAACAAAAGATTGTATTGCAATCGAAGACAATTAACCTAAAACACTTACGTTTTTCAAATCAAATAGAATTTACTTGAAAAATACAAAAGTGTCTCGTTGTATTGTGACTTAATTTAGCAATTTAATATCAGGTCTTTTGAATAAGAAAACAGTATCGGAGATGGTTAATAATTAGTTGATTTTATGCATAATAATTAGCTAAATGACATGCAGTCGTTATAAAAAACTCAGTATCGATGGTTCTTAACGTATTGTATACACTGACATACTAAAAAATAACTAAAAGTAATTAGCAGTCTTCGATTTGGTTTTTCTGAAAACAGCCTGAAAAATCAAGTTAGTCAGAAAGCCTCCGAAAACCATTTTTCCATGGAGAAAAACTCAAATTACTGAGAGGACCTCAAAAATACAAAAAACCGTCCTCTGTGATGAAATTGACTTTTTGAGGTTGTATTGAAAGATGGGGTTCGAACTAGTATTTTTCTGTATCATCCTTGAAAACTGATTTGGAAAAAGGTTTTCAGTTCATTTTAGAGGTAAGTACTAATCCGCCACTGTCTGTTTGTCCGACCGTCAGACAAACGAGTTGGTTTATGGTAGTTTTAAGCAAATACTAGAATGCCGCTTTACTTAATAAATTGCATAACAGCCATTTTCCTTTGTATCAGATAAAAAGATTTAGCCATGAAAAGTGATTAGCCGTTATCAATAACATCAATAACGACGATTTTTACTTTCTTCTTCATCGTTGTTGTTCTGCGTTCCTTATTTTATGAAGAATTAAAGAAAAGTTGTTTTTATCCCTTTTCCTCCGAGGAAGTTCAAGATTGGATCTAGCTGACCCCAAGATCGCCGAAGAGGTCTAAGTTTTTATTTTTATTTTTATGTTTTATTACTGTGAATGTTTGCTTTTTTCTTCGTTTTATATAAGCTTCTTTAACAATTATAAACTGTACAGTAAGAGTAAAATAAAAGTTATCTGGCCGCAACGGTCAAATTTTTCCAACATTTTCTTTACGTGCCTTCTTTAGAATACGGAACAACTTTTACGTTTGCTCCGAGGAAGGTCAAAACTGGATCTAGTTGTCGACAACACTGTCTGAACGGACTAAATGAAAGCCATCTAAGTTGTTCTCCCAATACAGAAAAAAAAGTTGTCTGCTTCGATGAACAATAATCATTCATTCCGGCTATGCAGTATCTTTTAATGTTCACCACCTTTCCGCAAATGTAGCAAAAAAAATCCAGCAATTAACAGGAAAAAAATACTATCACTGTAAATCTGAAAAACGAAACGTTCGTGGTTTTTTCACCTACTTTTCTCTGAACCACATACAAAAGATCGTCGATCATTGAGTAAGGTCCGTGAAGTATGTAATCATCGGCTTTTGAACCTGGAAGTTGTCAGTCCGAACTGTAATTTTTCACGCACTTTAATCAATATTTTCACGCAAAAATTACAGAGCTGACTCACAACTTCAGGTTGAAAAGCCGTGATTACATACTTCACCTTACCCAACGATCGATGAATTTTGTATATGGTTCAGACAAAAGCAGGTGAAAACACCACGAACGTTTCTTTTTTCAAATTTTCTCGCTACAATTTTTTACAGTGTGGTACAGCTGACATTTTCTGTCACAGCACCCGCTAGATTGTCATGGCATCAGACTGTGCAACAACACGTTCGTGTTTCACATTTTTCCACATATCTATTTAGTAGTCTAACTACCACCATATCCCTCTCCTAATGAGCTTCTATAGGAGAAACGTCTCGGTGAAACTGCATAAACAAGCGGTTTGAGAAAAATGTTATCCAGAGACGTGAATACTAGTTGTGTTCGACTGAAACCGACATCCATCGTCTACCTCACACTATTTCCTCACAAAAAAAGTGTCGCACAATTTTCGATTTTCAATGGAGGCACTCGACATTTGCAGCAAACGATCTGATTTGTTCTTTACCATTCTTCTCCTATCTCTCTCTCATCACTTTTCTAGCGGTTTTTTGTCTGCGTTCCTTACTCATTCGTGCATTTTTCGCTACACTCATTATTGTTCTTGCCTTCGTTTCTAGACGGTGCGCAGTATGAAAGAACGACGCCTCATTTCTGTTTTGGTTATACTTACGTTTGCACGGTTTGAGTTCTTCTCTGAATATTAAGCACTCTCTAGGCTATTTCTTCGAAACTGGAATTTGAGGTTTGCACTGTTCGACGTGAGAGAAGCAAATATTCTCTTAATCAAAAACGTTTTGCTTGTTCTCCGACAATTATTATTACCGGACTGATTTGTAGATAATCAACCAGTTCTAAATAAAGTCGATTTTTTATTTGAAAAAGGCCATCATACAAGTGAAGAAGTAAGCGAGAAATTGGCTTCCTTCGTTTGTTTTTCGCACAAAGTTTTCCTTCTTCTTTAGCATGGCTCCCAAAAAAGCACAGAAAAACACAGATGAAGTTGAACAAGAACAAGATGTGAATGACAATGAAGCACAGGCACAGAACAATAATCAAAGTAAAAAAACACCGAGTGGAAAGGAAGGCTCGTCCGTCAAAGCTGGTAGCAGTAGTGGAAAAGAAGGCTCGTCCGTCAAAGCTGGTAGCAGTAGTGGAAAAACTGGTGCATCAATTCGGAAAAGAAAACCGGAAGCACAAACGTTGGAAGAAGATGCTGCGTTATTCATTCATCCGAAAACAAAACCAGGTGCACAACAGGTGAGTAATAATGCTCTATCATGAAAGGAGTTTAAACAGCGTTCTCAATCATTCCAGTAGCTGATGCTGTTCTCCATCTTTGACCCCGCCGAGATGATCAGTTTACACAATACTTGATTATGTTTAGGCTGGTGTGGATTCGGCAGAAGACGATGATGAAGAAGAGCAACAGAAGAAACCAGCAGCAAAAAAGCAAAACAAAAGAGCAAATTCGTCGGATAATGATAATCAAGCAGCATCAAGTCGCACTGGAAAAGGAAAAAAACAACAAAAGATCGACGAACAAGAAGAAGAAGGTGAGGACATGAAGAATGCTCGCGATAGGGAGTTGAGGCTAGCTTTGAAACACTATTTATTCTGAAATATGTTGCTAGTAATTTTGGAGATAATATGAATGGTTTCCGAACGCTCTAGTCGCATGCGAAAAGTATGTTTTGTGTGATTTAAGCAATAATATTCTCTTTCTCCACTAGGTTCTGATAATGGTATTAGTGGCGATGCAGCGGGTTCAGCGAAAAAGAAAACCAGTGGTACAGCTGCAAAATCGAAACGCGCCGGTGTACGTAGCTATTCATTGTTACCTGTTTTTTGTCTGACCTCGACCTTCTACTTGTGTATTTCAGGCAAAGAAAACTGATAATGAAAGCGACGATGGAGAACAACAGAGTAATGATGACGACGCAGAAGAAGAAGAAGAAGAAGAAGAAGCACAACAACAAGGAAAAAGTGCATCAAGCAAGAAAACGGGTGGCGCTAAAAGTGGAAAAAACCAAGGACGTGGCGGAAACAAGGTAGGCTACTCGATTGTTTGTTGAAAGCACTCTGTTGCAACTTGTGTTTTTGTAGAAGAAGTCGTCGGGTAACGAACCGGAAGAAGAAAATGTTGACGATGACAAAGAAGAAGAGAATGCGGAAAGTAAGAGGGCTCAACACTTTTAAACGGTAATGTTGATTTGGTTTCACGAAAATAAAGTAATCTTTCATTCTAGATAATAAAGGTGCTGGTGGAAAAGGTGTGCAAAAGAAAAAATCAGCAACAGCAGCGAAAAAACCTGGCAGACCACCAAAAAAAGCTTCTCCATCGGCAAGTGAGAATGAACAAGAATCACCAGTCAAGAATGTCGACTTAAGCGAAAAGTCTGATGATGATGAACAGAAATCTAGTACAGGAAAAGGTCGTCAACCAACAAAACGAAAAGGTAGATTTCTCCGATAATTGAGTTATACTATAGAGTCATCATTCTTAAGTCTTGATCAAGCATCTTGCTGATACATTAAATTTACATTACTTTTGAATACTTTAGCTTCAGCAACTAAAAAACAGCAACAAGATGATGAGGCGCCATTCAAAGATAATACCAATGAAAGAGATGATGATGGCGAACAATATGGAAGTAAGCGATTGAGACTGAGCTTACGGTGTTAATTATTCTGATAACGGTTTTCCATAGAATAATCGGAGACTGAACTGTTTTTTGTGCATGTTTTAGGTTCACCAGCCAAACAAAAGAAAACGGGACGTGGAGCTGGCGGTGGTAGTGGTCGCGGTGGAAAAAAGAAAACAACCGCATAAGAGCTAGTCGCACCGGTTCATACAGCATTATACAAGCATTGTCTAAAATAGCTTATGTTTAAAGTGTCTGTTTTATGTATATTTTTTGTTCGGTATTTCAAGTTCATGTTATTCATATCTTGCTCTCGTAAACACGCGCGCATACTTATTCGCTATTTTTTTTCTTCTCGAAAATAATATTATATATACATATAATCAAATTTCTCTCTTTTTTATTATTTAGCATTAAACTAATGACCTTAAGGTGATTTCAAATTCTCTCTTTCATGTTATTCTTTATTTTGTAATTCAGAATTTATCATCGTATATTTTTTGCTTATATATGTGTTTGTATTTTTCTCAATTATCTCTTTCTCTTTATTGTGTTTATTTTTTATTGTTCCATCTATGCATTTTCTGTGTTTCTATCGTATCGGTAGTTAGCCCATTTTTATTGAATAAAGTGAGGAATGTGGCCCGAAAAGTTGTTTTGTCGATTTCAAATTGAGACTATGCATATATCATCTAGGTTTATGGATAATATCCTAAGTAAAGTTTGTACGATGAATGCATGGTTTCTAATTGAGAATTGAATGGTGGAGATCGATCAGTACCATTAGATGTTTACCCTGGCGGTGTTGAACGAACAGTACTACTAAAACGTGTAATAGGCGTCGATTAGGTTGATTGGTTGGGAGAGATAAGTATAGAACAGAAAGAAGCAGAGGAGAAAATATCACTACACAATTGATAGAATCGAACCCTTGAACTTTGAATTCAAATGCAAAGAATTTACTTTTGGACTAAATTGTCCAAAAGTAAACTCTGAGGTGTTCTCAAGTTTCCTTTGATTAGGATCTACTCCCGTGATCAGACATCTCTATCTACAAGTAACGACCAATCGTTGAGTTTCGATGATTAGTTTACACTGGATAGTAAAATATCCATTCAGACTTTATTTATTTTTTTGTCTTTGTGTTATATTAACTGTTATAGTATCCTGTAGTAGTAGTATTTATTCATTCACGAAAAGTGAAAGTCATTAAGATCGACGACCTGTAATAATAATCACTCGAGCCAACAGAAGAAACTATAGATAGAGAAGTAAACTAGTGTACGAAACAGAGATAGAAAGAAGAAAACAAAATAAAGGGTAACCGCACTGGATTTGCGATAAAATGTCTTCTATATACTTGAAAATGACCATAAAGGTCGAAAATTGATAAAACTTATGATAAATAGTCAATTACAAACGCTTCATTTATCGTACAATTTTTACAGAGACTACATTTTATTTTGGTGCAATAGTCCTTAGTATCTACCTATCTAAGTTAATGCGACCCGGTCAAGTTCATCAGATTTCTTCTTAACCTTCTATCACCGTAAAATCTCCATGGTAAAATGAACTACCTGTGCCTAATAAGTGATTTATTTCATTTCGAGAGCAATGAAATTGTGAAAGGGTATCGTGCACCAGCTTATGCCATTGTAAGCTGGTGAACGATACCCATATATTGTCATAAAAATCATCAATTACTTTGAGCATCTTCATATAATTTATTATTATATAGCCTATTATGATTCAACATATTCTACACAGAGTTTTCCACTGCACTGATACCGTCTGGAATCTTTTGCCAATAGTCGGTTTTTCATTCGAAGGTTATGGTGGGGTTAAATTTTGAAAATAGAACCGTTTGGTTTGTCCATTATGAGATCGATCGAAGCTGAGTTCGCTAGAACTAAAATTTTAACTTCATTTTTTACCATCACACTGGTTCTTGCTTGATTTTGGACTTCATAACACTATGAGCAAAGTAAAGTCTATAATCTTCAAAGGAACAAGCAAAAAGAAGACAAATCGCTTGTAGAAAAGCCTACAAAAATCGAAAAAGTCTGAAACTAAGCAACATCGGTCGCTGAATTCCTTTTCCCTAATGCGTGTCAGACACGGTCATGTTTACATTTGCTTGCCTTTGAATCCATTCGATGCCGTTTGCGATAACAACTAGTGGAGAGAGATTATCGTTCATGGAAAAACTGAATTTCATAATGGTTTCCTATGAAGTAAACATCTTAAAATGAAAAATCCCAAAACACATTTTGCACATAGTATGTATGGTAAAAATTTTATGCTGGTACAATACGTTTTTCAAGAAGTTCTCCGTGAGTAGAACGAAGTAAATATTTGTGAAATAATGTTTCAAGGTGCAAATGCAAAACAAACTGGCATGATCTTTCGTATCAAAAAGAGCAATCATAAAGCAAATAATACACCTTTTTTCAGAATAAAAATAATAAACAGAAACAAAAAAAAAAGAAGCAGAACATGCAATGAGGATATAAAAGTAACGATTGAAAATAAACACAAATAAAATAACGTTGGAAAAAAAAATGTTAGCAGTTCATCAGATAAGTGCTACAACGACCGTATCGGGACGGTAGTGTCTTTGACGTTGTAGTGTCTCAGCAACAGATTCTAAGACCATGTTACTACTGCAAACTAATTCTAACATATACGGTACAAGACAAAACTTGTATAAAAATAAAGAAAGAAGAGAATGCTGTTGAGTGAAGTGTATGTGACTACCTGACACACAGAAAACGGACAGCGAAACAAAGCGATGAAAAAACCGTAATTACGTCAGTGCGCACATACCTTGTAGTATATCTATACAAGTTTTAACTTATACAGTATATGTTAGAATTAGTTTGCAGTAGCAACATGATCTTAGCATCTGTTACTAAGACACTACAACTTCAAAGACTGTCCCAAGTTTCGGTGTCCCGAAACGGTCGTTGTAGCACTTGGCTGATGAACTGTTAGCATCGTAGTTTAATGTTAAATGCATGTAAGTAATTACTAATAACTTTGTATTCTACTTAGATGCTAGTAATATATGTATATTTAATTAGAACTACATTTTGCCTATTTTAAATTAAAAAATGCTGATTATGATTTCATTATACTGAGAGAAAGATGAGTAGATAGAAATCCAGTGTTTAGCGTTGAAAGTTCTAATTAAATGTGCATATATTGCTAGTGCTTGACAGCATATCAACTCAGTCGCGAAATTTTAATAGCGTGTTCGGCCAAAACTGATTGTAGATTTGGACTCTCCATAGTCGATTACCTTGTACGCAACAAATTTAGAATTGGGGTACTCTAGACAAATTTCTCAGCTTCACTCAGCCCTTGGTCCTCTCCAGGAACTTCGTTAAAAGGTCTTTTGCAAAACAATGGAGAAAATTTTTCTGTAGTACCTCGATTCAACACTTGTTGCGTACAAGTTAATCGACTATGGAAAGTCCGAATCTGCAATCAGTTTTGGCCGAACATGCTTTTAAAATTCTTGACTGAATTGATATGTCAAGCTTTACGTTCTTCTGATTGAATGACAAATTGTGTTTGTTTTTGTTAGTGATCTTTTGATAATAGACCAGTGATGTGTTTATGTAAACTTGTTTAAGACATTCTAAATGAATAGTTTCAATCGATAGGAGACAGTTGTGCATTATTCATGCTAAGGAATCATCTAACTATAAGTTAAAATACGAATAGAAAATGAGAAACACTTTTATAGATAAATCTCGTGTGTTTTGCACGGACTGTTCTAATTACCTCACATGCGGGGAATTGGAATACAAAAAACTTTGATCAGTCGCTTTTTGGATAGAGTTAGCTCCACCAAATATTGTCCGTTTGTGATCTGATCTACATCAGGCGATAGAGCTGGATATTCTCTCGGTATCATACTAAGGATGTGTGCAAAAATAATTGAAAATGCACATATAAAATTCAAATTATTTTTATTAAAAAGTCTCATGTATTTTCCCCGAACCACATGGAAATTAGAACAGTCGAGACCAGTCAACCGTAGATATGCTCCTGATCCTGAAGGAAATGGAATTTAAGAAAACGGAAAAGACCAATCGATAGAACGATGTCTCCTCTACAACTCTTGCCAAGGAACCATTCAAAAATATCTTAAGCTAACTGACGGAGAACAAAAATAACGAAGATTTAAAAAAATACTGTTCTAATTACCCCATACTATTCTAGTAGATAAAAGAAATCACTAAATCAAGAAATTTTTTTTGTGAAGAGGAAAATAAAGAAAAGCTTGAACACAAAGTTGCTAGCAATTACTTACATACATTTAACATTAAACTAATATGTTGTTTGTTTATTCACGAAAAGTGAGAGTCATCAAAGGTCCATGACCTGTAATATCAATGACTCAAGCCAAAATAAAAATGAAATGGGAAAAGAAAAATAATGCTTCACTATGTCAGCCGAGTGCTACAACGACCGTTTCGGGACGGTCTTTGAAGTTGAAAATACTGTTCTAATTACCCCATCCTGCTCTACTATAATAGAAAATAGAATGATGAACGAACTATCTAGTCGTGCGCAAACACTCGGAAAAGTTGATTCGTCGTTCTTGCAATGTACTTGGAAAACAAAATTAAATCAGTATGATGATAAAACAAATCCAAATGGAATTTGTAACTTAGGTGAGTATACGCTTGCTGAGACATGCAACGATGATAACTGATTGCACTCTCACGCATTGCCACAAAATCTTTCTCTTAATGATAATTAATTTTCTAAAATTTTTCTGGCACCTATGTTTTGTAGAGCAACGATTTTTCTGCAAGTTAACTATTGAGGCACTTTTCTTCTTGATTTAATACTCATAAGACGAATATTTCTTTAAAGCCAATAACCAACTGAAGCTGAACAGTAGGTTATAAAAGATTTAGGGTTCTTTGTCAAAAAGCGATTGTAAAGTATAAAAGACAAAGACTTTCACTATAACTCGTCTGGTGGAAGAATGTTTACTCTACAAAACAAACTATTAGAAAGTTTTAATATACGTACTTTTCATGCGATCGGTTCTATTTCATATTTAAAATTCTAGGTGTTGCCGAAAACCGATTGTGTGAAGAGATGATCATCGATAAAATAAAATTCGTACAAAACTGGTTACCCACGTACAGTCACTATCCACAATATACGACTGGAGATTTGCGTCTACGAACAGAATTATGTGAATTTTTTTTTCATCATTTTTTCAAACTCGATCAAGAAGTACAACTCGATCCGAATCGAATGGTAATATCAAACGGAGCGACTTGTGTAATAACATTACTTAGTTATGTGTTAGCTGATGACGGTGACGTATTTCTGATCAGTTCACCATTCTACACGGTGTTAGATCACGATGTTAACGTTTTAACGAAAAATTCTCTCGTCCGATGTCCATTATTGGGTCAAGAGAAAGGAGAATTTAGTCTCCATGTCGATAGTTATAAGCATGGTTATGAAAAAGCCCAACTGGATGGTTTACGAGTTCGGGGCATCATTATCGTCAATCCTGGAAATCCGGTCGGTGACATTTATGATGAACGAACGTTAATGCCAATATTAGAGTTTGCTGCTGAGAAACAACTACACGTCATTGTTGATGAAATCTATGCATTAAGCACATTTACAACTTTACACGAACCATTTCAATCGATATTAAGCTACAAGCATTTACCTGATCCAAAACGAACACATTTTGTATGGGCCTTTAGTAAAGATTTTTCAATGTCGGGCGTACGAGTCGGTGTGCTATATTCTTCAATTGAAGTTTGTATGATTGCTAGCAAGGTTAATTTTTCATTCTTGCCGTCAGGTGCCGTGCAAGGACTGATGATGAGCTTATTATCTGATAAAGAATGGACTAATCGATATGTTCGGACAAATAAGGAACGTTTGACAGAAAAGTTCTATTCTGTTAAAAAACAATTGGAATTGATGAGTGATGGACGAATCAAAGTGTACGAAGCACAAGCAGGCCTTTTCATATGGGCTGATTTTGGATTATATTTGAACGAGAAATCGTTTGATGAGGAACTAAAACTCTTTAATATGATATTCGATGCTGGCCTGTATATTACATGTGGCAAGATCCTTGGATGTAACGAGCCAGGATGGTTTCGCCTTATTTTCTCAGTGAAAGACTCTTGGATTGAGGAAGGTTTAATTCGATTGAAAACAGCATTAAACAAATACGAGTTCAATACTTGATTTTTATTTCAAATACATTTTTCCAGAAATCAGATAGCGTTTGTATTAGTACAGTTGTTTTAGTGCTCCAACAATTATGAAATATAGAGATACGCACACACAATCTGAGTTGTACATTCGATACAGCAGTGTCGATTGTCTATGAGTACTAGGGATGTTCGGTTCTCAGTTCTCGTGAAGAAAAGGAACCGCGGTTCTCTTATACCTGGTTCTTCATCGAGAAGCGGAACCGTACTATCGATTCTAACAACGGAACCGAAACCGCGGTTTTCTTATTTCCGGTTCTTCATCAAGAATCGGAAACACGGTACCGATTCTCCCAATGGAACTGCGGTTTCTTAGACGATTCCTTTTTTTCAAAGCCGAGACTTTTTTTACTGGCCTTTCTCTTAACAAAATGAAAACACACTATTGAGAAAGCTACAAAAAGATTATATTTTTCTGTTATCATTTAAAAGAATCCTTTCGTTTACTATAAAATGAATTCTATTTCGTTATTAACGGAATATTTTTCCGGTTCTAAGCTGAGAACCGAGAACCGCAGTCCTGTTCTAAGTTCAGAACCGCGGTTTCTGCCCCCTCCTCCCTCCTGCTAAAACCAGTCCTGCATGTTTTCTGAATGGTCCTTCGACTGATATTTTCATTAGCGTTTCTAAATGTTCTGTAGTTATGCGGTTTCTTAAATCGGTCAAATTATGATTCATTGTACTAAAATTTCTTTCGACTGTCGCTATGCTGATTGGCACAGAAAAAAGTATTTCAGCAGCGAAGGATAACTGTGAATATATATCTCTTAATAATTCACGTTTAATTAAATTTGCACAGGTGTGCCGTTGTGTTCCATAATTTGTTGATGGTTATTATTGTTTTTCTACTAACAATTGCTTTCGACATACCTACCACTCAAGTTCTAAGTTTTGATCAAAATCATTTTGGATGTTGTTTTAAAATAATCTCTTTCAGACCGTAATCATTATTCGAAACAACATTGGACATATCAAAAATAGGAAAAGAATTGAAATTATTGAATACACTTGTTTCAAAACGACATTCTATATTGTCTATAATGTTATTAATAAATTTTATTCTCTTATCATTAAATAGTGCATCTAAATTAATTTCCGTTTTTGTTCTTAAACGTGTTTGAGTTCGATTATATAAAATGAAGGAGGAACACGATTACATAAGCGTTAGACGCCACTTCTCATCACAGAAACCATCATCTAAAGCTTGATTATAAACTTGGAACATTCATTTTTGAAGACAAAGAAGGAAAATACCAGGAGCGTCTACTCTGTGGGACGTTTGAGGCGCAATGCTACAAACAAAAGTAAGGTACGACGCTTTTTTGTTGAATTCATTTCTCAGATGGTACACTGAGAGATCGATCCTCCAAAGTGGTACAAAATGCCCCAGATATTGGGGCGGGGATAGACGATGATAGAAAATACCGTTTGATATAGAGATATACAGACCAAAAATATGCACCATCTTTGTCCAGCTTAACACCTGTTTCAAAAAAAAAAGTATATGCTTCAGATAGATCAACGTACGATGAACTGGGTACATATCTGTTTCTTCTATGAAGTCGCACCAGTTGCGGTTAAAGCCATTCCAACATAAATACAATTTTTACAATAAAACGACAAATTTAAAACTCGAAAACATATTCAAATATAAAAAGAATTTATTTACTATTCAACCATGATATATAAACATATATAATCAACTGTTAAGTTCTTTTGCATTTATTCGATAGCTTATCAACACCGAAACGGTGGTATTTACGTTTCAAATACTATCGAACAATAACAACTTCCTATTTCACTTCCGCAGCCGGAACACTAACTTCATACGATTAACTGACATACAATAGTCATATCACGCGAAACGCACAAATATAGTGTCCGTTCTGATTCACAAACTCACATTTCTGTAACCACTTAAAACATGCTTAGAGACCTCTTTCGTTCTTTCTACACCAGATCAGAAATCGTTCTCTTCGGTTAAATGATTGAGCAGTACAGAAGAGCGTTTCTCAGGACTTTCTTTCTTCTTGCGCATTGGAACAGCTGACATTTTCTGTCACAGCACCCGCTAGATTGTCATGGCATCAGACTGTGCAACAACACGTTCGTGTTTCACATTTTTCCACATATCTATTTAGTAGTCTAACTACCACCATATCCCTCTCCTAATGAGCTTCTATAGGAGAAACGTCTCGGTGAAACTGCATAAACAAGCGGTTTGAGAAAAATGTTATCCAGAGACGTGAATACTAGTTGTGTTCGACTGAAACCGACATCCATCGTCTACCTCACACTATTTCCTCACAAAAAAAGTGTCGCACAATTTTCGATTTTCAATGGAGGCACTCGACATTTGCAGCAAACGATCTGATTTGTTCTTTACCATTCTTCTCCTATCTCTCTCTCATCACTTTTCTAGCGGTTTTTTGTCTGCGTTCCTTACTCATTCGTGCATTTTTCGCTACACTCATTATTGTTCTTGCCTTCGTTTCTAGACGGTGCGCAGTATGAAAGAACGACGCCTCATTTCTGTTTTGGTTATACTTACGTTTGCACGGTTTGAGTTCTTCTCTGAATATTAAGCACTCTCTAGGCTATTTCTTCGAAACTGGAATTTGAGGTTTGCACTGTTCGACGTGAGAGAAGCAAATATTCTCTTAATCAAAAACGTTTTGCTTGTTCTCCGACAATTATTATTACCGGACTGATTTGTAGATAATCAACCAGTTCTAAATAAAGTCGATTTTTTATTTGAAAAAGGCCATCATACAAGTGAAGAAGTAAGCGAGAAATTGGCTTCCTTCGTTTGTTTTTCGCACAAAGTTTTCCTTCTTCTTTAGCATGGCTCCCAAAAAAGCACAGAAAAACACAGATGAAGTTGAACAAGAACAAGATGTGAATGACAATGAAGCACAGGCACAGAACAATAATCAAAGTAAAAAAACACCGAGTGGAAAGGAAGGCTCGTCCGTCAAAGCTGGTAGCAGTAGTGGAAAAGAAGGCTCGTCCGTCAAAGCTGGTAGCAGTAGTGGAAAAACTGGTGCATCAATTCGGAAAAGAAAACCGGAAGCACAAACGTTGGAAGAAGATGCTGCGTTATTCATTCATCCGAAAACAAAACCAGGTGCACAACAGGTGAGTAATAATGCTCTATCATGAAAGGAGTTTAAACAGCGTTCTCAATCATTCCAGTAGCTGATGCTGTTCTCCATCTTTGACCCCGCCGAGATGATCAGTTTACACAATACTTGATTATGTTTAGGCTGGTGTGGATTCGGCAGAAGACGATGATGAAGAAGAGCAACAGAAGAAACCAGCAGCAAAAAAGCAAAACAAAAGAGCAAATTCGTCGGATAATGATAATCAAGCAGCATCAAGTCGCACTGGAAAAGGAAAAAAACAACAAAAGATCGACGAACAAGAAGAAGAAGGTGAGGACATGAAGAATGCTCGCGATAGGGAGTTGAGGCTAGCTTTGAAACACTATTTATTCTGAAATATGTTGCTAGTAATTTTGGAGATAATATGAATGGTTTCCGAACGCTCTAGTCGCATGCGAAAAGTATGTTTTGTGTGATTTAAGCAATAATATTCTCTTTCTCCACTAGGTTCTGATAATGGTATTAGTGGCGATGCAGCGGGTTCAGCGAAAAAGAAAACCAGTGGTACAGCTGCAAAATCGAAACGCGCCGGTGTACGTAGCTATTCATTGTTACCTGTTTTTTGTCTGACCTCGACCTTCTACTTGTGTATTTCAGGCAAAGAAAACTGATAATGAAAGCGACGATGGAGAACAACAGAGTAATGATGACGACGCAGAAGAAGAAGAAGAAGAAGAAGAAGCACAACAACAAGGAAAAAGTGCATCAAGCAAGAAAACGGGTGGCGCTAAAAGTGGAAAAAACCAAGGACGTGGCGGAAACAAGGTAGGCTACTCGATTGTTTGTTGAAAGCACTCTGTTGCAACTTGTGTTTTTGTAGAAGAAGTCGTCGGGTAACGAACCGGAAGAAGAAAATGTTGACGATGACAAAGAAGAAGAGAATGCGGAAAGTAAGAGGGCTCAACACTTTTAAACGGTAATGTTGATTTGGTTTCACGAAAATAAAGTAATCTTTCATTCTAGATAATAAAGGTGCTGGTGGAAAAGGTGTGCAAAAGAAAAAATCAGCAACAGCAGCGAAAAAACCTGGCAGACCACCAAAAAAAGCTTCTCCATCGGCAAGTGAGAATGAACAAGAATCACCAGTCAAGAATGTCGACTTAAGCGAAAAGTCTGATGATGATGAACAGAAATCTAGTACAGGAAAAGGTCGTCAACCAACAAAACGAAAAGGTAGATTTCTCCGATAATTGAGTTATACTATAGAGTCATCATTCTTAAGTCTTGATCAAGCATCTTGCTGATACATTAAATTTACATTACTTTTGAATACTTTAGCTTCAGCAACTAAAAAACAGCAACAAGATGATGAGGCGCCATTCAAAGATAATACCAATGAAAGAGATGATGATGGCGAACAATATGGAAGTAAGCGATTGAGACTGAGCTTACGGTGTTAATTATTCTGATAACGGTTTTCCATAGAATAATCGGAGACTGAACTGTTTTTTGTGCATGTTTTAGGTTCACCAGCCAAACAAAAGAAAACGGGACGTGGAGCTGGCGGTGGTAGTGGTCGCGGTGGAAAAAAGAAAACAACCGCATAAGAGCTAGTCGCACCGGTTCATACAGCATTATACAAGCATTGTCTAAAATAGCTTATGTTTAAAGTGTCTGTTTTATGTATATTTTTTGTTCGGTATTTCAAGTTCATGTTATTCATATCTTGCTCTCGTAAACACGCGCGCATACTTATTCGCTATTTTTTTTCTTCTCGAAAATAATATTATATATACATATAATCAAATTTCTCTCTTTTTTATTATTTAGCATTAAACTAATGACCTTAAGGTGATTTCAAATTCTCTCTTTCATGTTATTCTTTATTTTGTAATTCAGAATTTATCATCGTATATTTTTTGCTTATATATGTGTTTGTATTTTTCTCAATTATCTCTTTCTCTTTATTGTGTTTATTTTTTATTGTTCCATCTATGCATTTTCTGTGTTTCTATCGTATCGGTAGTTAGCCCTTTTTTGTGTATGTTAGGAAATCGACAAACAGTTTTTTCTATCTGTGCGTATCTCTTTTTGTGTGTGGTTGTTTTTTGCACATTGAGTGGTTTTTGGCGCTATGTTATGGCGTATTGCTCTTTCTACTATGTCAATGACAGCTTAATAAAGAACGGTGATCAGCGAGAAGTCGGATGTTGTAGTTCAAATGATGACTGTGTTAAGGTTTTTAAGGGTTTGTTGATGAGAGAGATATCGCTTGCTGGTGAACAGTTAACTGGAAGAAGTACGCGGAAATTGGAAAGGAAGTGTTTATATTGAAGTGTTTTATGTCATAAGGGGACTATTGTTTGTCGGATGAACGATTGTATAGTTAAAGTGGACAACTATATAGAGGCATTTTATGTTTCGGAGAAAGTTTAATGGAACGTGCGTCATTGTAACAACCTTGAAGTGACGCTTTGAATTTGTTAATTTAGCTTGATCAATAGGAGGAACTATCGCTTTTTATCTGTACATCTGTACGTTTTATTTGAAGGTTCACTACTCTTCGAAGATTTATCTCTCTGTTTTGGTGGGGACCAATCACGAGATGAAGACCTCTTCCCATGATCATTCGATATTCCCGCGTCGATTGTCGTGCAGCGTGTATATCCATCAGGAATCGGTGTTGGGTCACCGGGTTTCCACATAACTTCTGGTTTTTTACATCTTAGTGCTGGTAAATCAGTTACAAGAAAACTCGATGCTCGATTTGTTAATGTTCGAATCATAGTTCCAGGAATTGTCAAAAATTGTATATCTTGAGGATCAATTTCGTTGGATTTTGCAATTGTATTCGCATTTTTATGAATGTGAGTAAAAGTTTTGGTTTGTTTGGTTACGTTATTTGTCATACCGTTTTAAATCAACGAAATTAATTTTTGATACGTGAAGTAACAGTAAAAAGAAAATGTTTTTAAAGATTTGCTATTATTAATTGGAACTAGTTCGTTACCAAGGAGTTATAGCGTTCTGGTCTTCGATTTCTTCTTATAATTTTGAGCGAACCACTATTAGATCCTCTTTACCGATCAATTCTTTTTCTTTTTTTGAAAATGTTTTAGGATCTGATGAAAGAACTCTGCTCTATGTGTTTCCTCAACTCTTGATGAGATATTTTAAATAGCAAGGACAATGTACGTTAAATAAGAATTTGTTTTGATAATATCAAACGTCAAAACGAAAATTTAATACTCATTGACTTCGTAAACTTGATTTGAATAAAAAATCAGCGACCAATAGAGGCTATTATTCAGTTGTGTAAATACTTGTATCTATAGTTGAGACTGACTTGCTCACTGAACTAGCTTAGAAAATGATGAAGCTTATGCGTTATGTAGTGTATTGACTAGAACAACATCCTCTAACGTATTAGCGGCTTCATCACTTCACATTTAATTCGGATGACTACTATAGGAAATTCGAGTTTCCACAGAAAAAAAACCTATCCGTTTTGGTAAAAATATAAACTTAGTATAGCACTTTCAGTTTTCGAAAAACTATGCATTAACAATCTGAATGAAAAAATATAAATAATTAGAACAAAACAAAAAATTTGCATATGTGTGATTTCAGATAGAAGATAAACCAAAAGTATATATAATTTCATTCGTAATGAAAAAAGTATACGTATAGGAAATGAATCATACTTTCGTCTAATTATCATGGAAGTATAAACCAAAAATTATAAAATCGTTACTCTTTTCAATATCAAAAACAAAACAAAAAATATAAAGAGAGAGATACACATCGTAGAAAACAAAAACTATGGCACATGTGTATGTGGTGAGTGTAACAAATATAATTTACAATAACAAGAAGAAATAACAAATTGATAAAAGGGAACCGAGCCAGCGGATGATACTTATCAGCCAAAGAACAAAACAGGAACAAAAAAAGTAATAACAGCACCAGGAAGTCGTTTCAAAAGAAGCCAAGCGGTTTTTTGATATTGGTTTGCTTCCAATACGGTAACTAAAATAGTAATCCAGTATTAATGAGTGGCTTCTGGTATTAATTCTATCACTACTTTTTAAACCTACGCTACACTTACCGAATAGAAATCATATTTTGTCATCCGAAATTCTTTCTATAAATAAACCATAACATTATCTAGCAATTAATAAAAAAAAAGAACAACAGTCAACATACCTCAAAATCATGATCTGATAGATACCACTCAATTTTTGAGGCATCAACACCTTCTGGTAATGGTCGAGTTTTGAGTTCATCAACCGTATACTGTTCACGACATAAAGAGGACAGTGCAGTGATAATTGAATCCTTTTGATTTTCACGTCTACCATCCTAAGAGAAAAGAAATGGAACGTTCTAATACAAGACACAAACTGTAAGAGGTGGCTTTTTATTTATTACTCGGTGTTACTTTACCAAGTAAAGTAACAAAAATCTGTTACTTGTTACTAGTAACACGTAACAAACTAGCATCTGATGTTACTAATTACTTTACTTGGTAACGTAACATCGACTAATAAGTAATGAACCACCCCCTACTGATAAAGAAATATCAAGAAATATTTGTTAGCTATACATCACGTTAAGGGAAGAGTCATAACTTAAAAGATATCTAATACAATTCAAAAGTATTTCTAAAATTTCAAAAACACCTGTTTTCCAAAAAAAGATTTGTTCTTTGTCACTTTCCTAAAAGTAACAAACCTTTGTTACTTTGTTACTAGCAACAAGTAACAACTGCGTTAGTTTTTACTAGTAATAAGTAACAAACTAGCAGCTGTTGTTACTAATTATTAGTAACAAGTAACGAAACTGTTACTTATTACTAGTAACAGCAATGGTAAACAGCCAGCCCTAGTTGTAACAACTCTATAAATTAGTAGAGATACACTTTCCTAGTAATCTCACTAAGACAACAGTACCACTTACAAGTATACTATATTGTTTTGCTTGCAGATTAATCGTCCATTTTGGAAATAAATTCGTAAATTCGATAGGCTCTAAACCCGCATATACAATATAACAATGACTGTCTGGTAGTTCACCGGTTCTTGCTGAAATAGATTATTTAATAAGGTACAAGTTACTTAAAGAAAGCGAGAGTCATACCTTCCCAATAGTTGACTGCTGTTTTATAAGCACAACGTCTTTCTGCTGTAAAACGCATATCGGCAGTTCCGCCAGCTTGTAAGCCGGCATTAATCAATTGTATTTCGAACTCGTCTGTGGGCATATCGCGATATCCCTGCCATATGTAAAGTTCACTTTCCGTATCGATCAAACACAATGCTAAATAATCAACTGATCAGACTTTTTTACATAAACAAAATCAACTTATTACATACCAGGCTGATGCTGATCATACAGATCAGTTTGAGAAAAAGGAAACGGTGCAACTAAATCAGATCGTAATGGATACAAAACTATAAAGAACAAAAGTTAAGATCCAATCAAACAATAGCAAAAAAAGGAATTGTACCTTCTACAGCCACGAATGGTCCATGAAGACTTGATAAATGAAACATTCTCATTGTTGAATGTTGCTGTATTTTGGCTACAAATAAAAAGCAATGAAATCATATAGACAATTTAAAGTGAAAGAAGTATAACTTACAATTTAACAATGAATGATATTTTCGTTTATTTGGTCGTTCGTGAATGGCTTCCCAGAACAAATCCGTTTCATCTCCTTCTTGCATTTCAGAAAATTCAATATCTTTGTTTGGAATAAAATTAAATTCGACAGGACCTCTATAAAAGAACGAACGATACATGAGATATGAACGAAATAGGCACTATTTAATCATACTTTTCACGTATTTTTATTGCTGAATTTAACGCTACTGATTTTAATTGATCTGTTATTTGACAACCATGCCACAGTATCATTACTGTACTAGATGTTAACAAAAAGGATGTACGACTTCTTAGATTGGAACTGTCCAATGATAGTTGCCACCAGTGTGTTTCCGTCTCAATTTCTCCACGTAGCACATACATGCGCCATTCTTAAAAACAAATTAATTTAATACATGGATAAAAGAAGAATAGATTATTACCTTGACTATTATTTCGTCTATTATTTCTTTTGCCTTCATGTATTGTCATTGTACCATCAAAGAGTTGGAGAAACACTGGTTCCTCTTTCTCTTGAACAATATGCACCTAGAAAGAAATTAACAGAAAACAAATTTTCTCATTATTGTCCAAACTGCCAATGAATCTGAATCTTCTTTCTAACAATATGAATGAGACTATCTATCTTAATAGCAAATTTCAAAGTGATACTAACGAACGAGTGTATAGATGATTTACTTACATGAGGTCCTTTTTCTTCATCTAAAAATACTGTCATTAATGCTGATAATCCTTTTTCATTTGGTGATGATTTGCTGCCTTGCCAAATAAAGTAAGCAGTACGATCTCGACCCGTATCCGCTTTCCTTACGGATGCTTTCCCAGTGGCTAAAGAATGAAATCCTAGAATGTAGTAAAAATAATTAAATTAAAATACTAAACGTTAGTTACATAGATTCATACCCGATGCTACTAATTTGTATTTCCATCTTATAATATAAACATCTTCTGAATGAAATTGCCCATAACTATAGATGTCTAATTCGTTTCTATCATTATCGGCAACATGCCATACATTAATTGACAATGTTGTGACATCATGTCCACGTAATTCAACAGAATCATACCTAGAAGAGTAAATCTAATATTTGTTTCTATAAATACTACATTCGAAAGGTCAAACCATTTTTTTCCCCTTCCAAGACTGGCTTGTTCTAAAATAAAATTGACAGGAATATCTTCGTGCTCTAACATTTTATGTACATCAGCCGGTTTTAACGTTTCAACAATAGATTGAGGCTATCAAATAAAGAAATGATATGATATAATTAATTAATTTTTATACAATAGTCCAATCTTACTCGTCTTGTTGATGGTATTCGACTAACACTAGGAGCAGCATCATTGTAAGACTTTAGATCAGTTAAATCATTCGGCCAATCGTGAAATTTTCCTTTGAATAGTAATGTTTCAACATTTTGATTTTGTTTACCAAATATGGACCATTCTGGACGTTTATTACCACATGAATCAAAATTTTCATCTGAAAAGATAATTTTAGTTAATATTTTTATTTATTATATAAATAGCAATCAAACATACATCCAAAGAACGGATTAAATGGATTTATAGAACACTCGGAAAAATCGTACGGATCATTCCATAATTGTTGTGCAAGCTGTACACCCACTTGTCGTTTCATTTTATCTGCATATTTCCCGTTCCATATATATAATTCTGGGCCAAAATCAAATACAAAAACCTGAAAGAAAATAGTTTTGTTAAAATGATAGATATTTATTCGAATTATACGGATTCTATTCAAAAAATAATGATTATTGATTATCATAGCTTTATCAAAGGGTGTCAATTGTTTTGATCACGAAAAAAAGATACTTTTGATCACTAAATTTTTTAGATACAAATGATCACCAAAGAAAGATACTCTTGATCACCAAACGCCTCAAGTAAACATCATCAAGTAAATTTACTATACTTAATAGAATCCAGTTTGATGCTGACATTTTTACAAATGAATAAACTTTAAGGGTATATATATAAGAAGAAGCAGAGAAGAGATGGTGAAATTTGACCGATATTATGAATGAATAATGGTATTATGAACAAAGAAGAGATGAGGAAGTTTGACTGATATAATGAATGAATAAAGAAGAGATGAAGAAATTTGACTACACATATTCAACCAGCTTTAAATTTGTAAATAAATGTAAATAAAACTGTGAAAATATTGTCTTTGTTAAAATTTATATGTATAAAAATGTGATGCTGGAAAATTTGGTGATCAAAAGTATTTTTCTTTGGTGACCATTTGTATCTAAAGGCGTTTGGTGACCAAAAGTACATTTACTCTTTATCAAAACAGTCATATTTTACTTCAGTCGGATTCATATATTTAACGGATAATGATTTGAAGCAAATATCATCTAATGGTATCAATGTATCATTTTCGACTTTATAAATACGATTTGAATCTATAATATTTGTTTCATAATAATCATCGTCGGTAATACTACTAATTTCTAAAAAAAAAATATGAACTTGACTAAATTTATTATATATTAGAATTTTTCAAACAATATAACTTACATACCATTAGAATCATTTCCTTTTAAAATTTCATTAAATTCTCTATATGCTTCATTATTAATATTTTCATTATTTGACTGATCAATTAAATAAAATTTGACTTCATTTCTTATGCCCATATCACGATGTTGTTTCAAATATTCGATTAATTCCATTGTCTAAAACATAAAAACTCTAATTTATATAATAATACATATTTTTCAATATAGAACATACTTTTGCCTTTTCAATTGTATTTGAAAAACGTCCAATCCATGCGAATACTTTTAAAGGGGTAATTAATATCTGAAAGAAAACAAAAAATGATAATATGTGAGACTAATAGAAACTGAAATATTTTTATGATACTTACATAACTGTCACCATCATTGATTGATTTGGATGACGGTTTCATAAGTCGTAATGGACAATGTCGACGACCTAACAATAAGTGAAGTGGTAGTTGTTGAAAATATAGTGATGACTCGTCATTTGCAGTGAGAAATACCAAAGAGAAAGATGTTTTTTTAATTTATATTACCTTTAACAAGTATAAGCATAAGATCTTTGTATGGTTCTAATCCAAATGTTGCTTGAGTATTTGGATCTATTTTTCTTAAATTGACTTCAGAAAGATTTTCTTTGGCTGCTAATGCTGCCAAAGCTTCTTGAGCTAGACTAGAATTTTCTGCTACTAAATAAAAAAAATATAAAAACAAAATTAATTAAAGATTGAGTTCTAAATATTTGTTCATACTTTGAGCTTTTTTTAAACGTCTAAACTCTTGTTCAGATAAATTTGTACGAATTTCAGTATATTCGTCAACAATCGGAATAACAGCTTGAATTTGTCTCAATGGATTTTTTGTACCTTGTTGACGACGTTGTGGTTTAACTCGAACAGGTTGTGGTTGTAATCTTTAAAAATAATTGAATAATTACGTTAAATAAATGATGAATATCATTTTTTGAAAAAAGAAAGATTTAAAAAATACCTAACACTATCAGCAGCTATTCTTTCTAGATCACACATATCTAGTTGTACAGATTGATCATCATTATGATATTTTGTATCGTTGAAAAATTCATCTAATTGATCATCTGGTCTCAGCACAGATACTGTATCCGATTTAACAATATTAACCACATCATTATTATTTCTCGATTTTACAATTGTGTTTTCTAGGAAAAAATAACCAACTCTATCAATAAGAGAACAATTATCATTTTGTTTGATTATTAATTACTTAAACTAAGATTTTGTGATTGATGTGAAACATTGTTTTTGATATTTGATTCTAAATTGAGAGAAGAAATAAAATGTTTGATATTTCAAGGTCATAAAAACATCTTCTTTACCATCACCTACTGTTGTAATTAAAAAAATTATTATTATTAATTGAAGTTTTATTCATACATTGACCCATTATTATTGTTTTGACTGACTTTTTTCAACATCAAAGACAAACGCAAATACAACAACAAAAGATAAAAAAAACTCCCAAACAATTATAAACCTTCTAAATATAATTCAGTATTTCCGTTATTGTAAATAGTTTGTGTGTGTATGTGTGCGCGTGTGTTCATGTAATTTCGAATACAATCGCGTATACAAGATATTATTTGTATACGCTATTGTACAAACTCTCTGTCTCTTCTTCTCCTATGTCATTCTATCTCTTTTTCTTCTTTATGCATGTATTAGAGACTAATGATGCGACGAATTGAGTACGTGTACAAAAAAAAAGAAAGATATATTGATATGAGATGAATTGTGATCGCCAAAAGGTACTAAAGTTTTTAATTGTGATAAATTCTATGGAGAAGATAAAGAAAGAGAAAGAAAAAATGTTTTTTCTTTTTTTGTTTTAGTTGAACGTATATACAATCTTATTGTTATGCAAAAAAACAGTATCATCCTCTCTCTATATCTGACCATAAGAAGTGCAAAAAAAGAATAGTTTGAACTCTGAATCATCTACGATCTTCATTTAAACAGAATTCAACATTCACTTAAAGAAGCACAAATTATGTATTTCTCTATTTATTATTACTATCATATAAATTAGAAGAGAGCAAAATGCTTCTTATGGATTGGATATTATCTTCGTACTGAAAACAGTAAATCATACGAAATATTTGTACCATAAACAGATAAAGATCTACCTTTTATATTGATAAATGAGAAAAGGTATCGGGTCTATATATTAAACAGTGTCCCAGTACACACAGGATAGCCTGTAATGTCATCATTATTAATAATTAAAATAAAGAACCGAATAACGGTGTATTTCTCAACTACGAAAACACATGAGTGATCATTAATCTAAAGAACTATAAATTAACTATAATTGAATAGAACAATATGGTAAACACTCTAAAATTATTTATAATATTTAATTTTCTATGAACTGACTACTTCACTAACAGCTCTCATAGAATAGATGATATTATGATATCTCGATACTTCTGATAAATTTAAATGAGTTTCACAATATAAATGTGACTGTTTTAAATGGACAGAAAAATTCGCTTGTTATTGGCAATATGTATTGATTAGTATTATACTGATCTCAATGATATATATTTACTTTGAAGCATTGTGAATAATTAAAAACAAACGTATTAAAAATCATTCATCTTTTTATTTAGTGGGTAACAATGGCTAGTTTAAATAGTAGCTCAAACGAATAAATGTATAATATAACTTCATATTTCTCTAATGAATGTATTGAATTTCGACATGTATTATTAAAATGAATGAACCATCTTCACAATACTGATGAAACGTCTACGAATCAGACTTACCAGCTTTTAATCGCACTACATCAATTGTTTTTGCTCGTTGAGCATTCTTGTTTGCATTATATTTAATCGTGGTTCTTTTCGGTTTTGGTAATGTTTCAGTATCTGACGTCGTCGGCATTGTCGGCATTTTACCCGTTTGTCGAAGTTTACCCTCGATAGTAAATTCATTGGCATCATTTGATTGTACACGTTTTTTCCATTCATTTTCTGTGAATGTTTTTAATTGTTGAAGTCTAAACCAGACAAAAAAAACGTTTTCTTTTTAAACAAGAGCAAAACACATTCATTTCCATCGTCTAACCTTTGCTTCAATGGTATAATGTTCTCATTTTCTTCTGGACTAATCATTGATGATTCATCTATGAAAAAGAAAAAATGTTCTGTACGTTTAAAAACTAGACCGCTACTGGACAGCTCTCTTCTGTGATACATTGAAATCTAGCAGAATACATCACACCTGCCAGGCACGTTGAAATAATTACAAATTACAGTACTAACTTCTTGTCTATGACATAACATCAGGTAGATCTATCTAGCACTCAAAATAGATTATATTTTTTTTTTCTTCATTTCTTTCTCGTATAAAATACCGTGCAAAAACACAAAAGTATATTTTAAAATTACTACTCTCTCTCACACACACATACACACTCGAACGCGTGCAATGAAGAAACAAAAGCGGAAAACAGACGTACACATTTTTTATCTGTTACCAATTCTTTGTTATACTCCGGATGTTTGATGTTATTTTGAACTTTAGCTCTTACCTTTGAATACTGGTGATAATATTGCTCTTATGGATGACGATGAATCGATATGAGTGGATACACGTGAATGAAGATGTAATCTTGATTTTTCACTTGAGTTTTCAGACTTTTTTTTTGATTGAGAACAATTCGTTTGTCTCTTATTATTGATATCAACAGAAGTAGCGTGTCCATTAAAATTTTTATTCAACAACAAAGATGATTTTAAAATTGATTTTGTTGTTGATAAGAACAGTAGTGGTGGTGGTGGTGGTGATGGCGATGGAGAAGAAAAAGATTTATTAGTTGAGTGCACTTTTGATTTCAATGGTTCACTTCTTATTTTATTGGTTGATGTGACGGTTTTGAATGTTACTGATAAAGTACGAGGTTGAACATGCACATCTTTCACTGCAAAATGGATTAAATAGATTAAAGAACATGCAAGAAACAACAATAAGAAGAAAATTAACTCTTAATCAATAAATTGAGCTAAATTTGAGCGAATTCTTTATGCTGTCTGTAATATTCAAGCAATTTAATCTGTTACTAAAAGAATCTGAAAGAGGATTCTTCTCAAGCAAATTTAACTAAAATCTCTACATTTTTCTATTCAGACAGTATAAAAAAATTGCCGAGCAAGGTAATCATACGTGAAGGTAATAAAGAGTTTAAAGTTCTTACATCTTGTTTCAAAATCAAATAATATACAACAAAAAACACCGCAAAAAACTGATACAACTAAAACTTTTTTATTTACTTTGTGGTGACTGTGTTTGAACGATCGGCAATATTGTCAGGTTTTTTGATGATACTGAGTCAGCCGAATCATGGTCATTATTCGTTATGTTTGACCACGTAGCTGCTGCTTGTACTTCTTCCGCTGTTACAGGCTAAAATCAATAAAGTAATTAATAAAAAATAGACACATAGAAAGTTATCATTTCGTACTTGTGTTAAACGACTGCGACTATTTTTTAGCGAAGTTGATAATGTGTTTCTAAGAGATTTATTTTGATTAAATAATGTCATTTTATCTTTAAATGATAATTTCGATGTATCATCATTATATTGTTTATCATTAACGTTTTGTTCTGGATGTGACTTTTGTTCTGATGAAGATGAGGATGAATCAACTAAATATTCATAATTTTCTTCGTATAAAACAACATCTTCCGTTTTCGATCGTTTCAATGGATTATATCTTTTTGTTATTGTTGTTGTATTTTGAACCGATGGTTGATTATTTGCTGTTCTTCTAGAGATCAAAAAAAAAAAATTTGAACGTCGAAAAATAAATCTTTTTCGTTCGTTTGTCTCTTACTCATCTTGTTGTTTAAACGATTTTGAACGTGTTAAACCAAAACATGAGTCTTTTGAAAATGTTTCAAATAAATTTTTTTTAGCTGCTACTGACATTTTTTCTTTTACATCATCTTCTCTAAAGTGAAATGTAGCTTTCAGTTCAAAACACCAATTAAAAGTAGATTTTAATTTAATCATTGGGTGAGTAAAGTAAATATGTTTTGAAGAAAAACATGCCGAAAGAGATCCACAATGATTAAACGTTTGTTTATCATTTGGTAAAGAATATCGTTTGAGTCTACAGCATAACTCCACGAGTCCGCAAATATGCTAGAAATAGTGAAGATGCCCGAAAGTGGAATGACTATAAGTAATGAGTATCTCACGAGAAGTCCATCTTTTTAGCTATATTTTTAGTTTGAAACAAATGATTTATATGTCACTAGAAGGTCAAGTTAAAATATGCACGTGCAGCTTGTTACTATAGTAAGAGTTCTATTCCAATCAGATTGGTATTATGAGAGAATAGTACCATCTGGAAAGAGCAAAACCATGAGGAGCAGAAGAAAATGAAGAGTTTCTCTAGTCTTGTTTACAAAAATTTGATAAATCATCTACAATAGAAAGTTAACTATTGTTAATTTTATTTGCAGAAAAATCTTATGAAAAATAGACAAAAGATATTTTCTTTAGTGCCTGCTATGAGTGCACTGGAAGTGTTATTCAACTGTAACTTGATTATAAGTTTTTCTACTCAAGATGATAACTATTAAACTCACATGAACTTGAAATCTGTATTATATGTTATTTCAACTTACTGATGTACATTTTGTATTAATCGTAGATGCTCATTACTATTGCCATTTAATTCATCATTTGATGTTGATAATAGTTTATTTAAACGTTCAATTGAAAGTTTCGCTCGTTGATCATCATTTTCATTTTTTTCTAATGTTTCTAATTGAGCATCGACTGAGAATGCTTTGTTTAAATGCATCTGTTTCATAACTGTTGAATTATCATCATAATTCTTACTATTATTCGTTATACCCATAGATGATAGTGCATGATCACTCTTCGATATTGGTAATGTTCGCTGTTTTTGTTGCTGTTGCATAAAGATATTATTTTTATTATTATCATCCTCATCGAAAGTGTTTGTCTTTTGAAATGATCGTTTATAATCCGCTACTTTTTGCATACTATTTCGTTTTCTTAGTATTTCTGATACGGCACGTTGTTTTTCAACTGGTAAATGTATTTGATTGGAACGTGAAACTGTTGTTGTAGATGACGATGAATCGTTATCTAGTTCTTGACGAAGCATTTCTTCGACCGAGGATTTCAGTGGTCGTGATAGAGAAGTTGAAAGATCATTATTATAAGAAACGTCAGATGTTTCACGAGATGGAGATCGTGAACGACGTAATCTTTCTTCGTCCATGGATATATCAAGAAAACTATTATTCATACTATTTTGATTAGAAACAATTGTTGGTACTATAAGAGATTGAGATTCCGGAACTACAGTGGATCGTTCGATAATCATGGATGGAAATGGACCCACACTATTATATTCATCAGCTGTATCAAAATCAGACGTAGATTGTCTTTCGCTCTGTTGTAGTTGTTGATTTTGTTGAGTCATATAAGATGGAGAATAATTTCGATCATTATTTTCATATTTTGGATCGGATTTTATTATATCCAATGGTTTCAAACGTTCGAATATATTAAATACAGGTGATTTAGTTTCACTTGATACGTTTAATTTAATACGATTTTTTGTTTCGTCGTATGATGACTGCTCATGTACAGAATGTTTCAATAAATCGATAAATTTGTCTTTTTGTAAAGAATTAGTAAAATCTTGACTTTGTTTCACTGTAATAAAAAAACAAAATAAACTCAATAGAATTTGATGTTTTTAATATGTTTAATTCATAGATAAAAACAATTATGTGATTCACAAACCTTCGGTTGGTTCGATGATTATTAAATCATTTACTAATGTCTTTTGTTCATATAATGGCTTATAGGAATAGGACAAAATAGTGTTTTTTTGTAGCGGTGTAGGAACATAATCTTCCTAGAATAAATTACATATTATTTTACACATACGAAGATAAGAATCTTTCTTATACGTGTGCATAGGGATGAACTTCGGTTTTCTTTTGTAATAGATTCGAATAGAATTTTGAGTGATCACCAGTTATTGGTATATCAGACGTGTAATATGATGAAGAATGTTCTAAAATAATAGCATAATCATATTATTTCGTTTCATTTATTGGAAAAAGTTTATGTTCTGTGAAAATGGAAATGATATGTTGTAAACCTATGATTGTGTATGATTTTTACATTTTCGATAAGGAATTTATACAAAAAACAAGTATTTTTTTTTCGTTGTGTCATCTAGAGAATAAAATCATCAACATACACAAGTACGACGAACTATTACACATTGAAAAAATAATTTTCGTCCTCTTTTAACAACTAAAAAATGTATGGTATTCTCTTTTTCTGTCTCCTTTTTATTCACCTTACTGTTAAACTATACAATTGGTGGTACCCCATTGTAAATTAGTAAGATTTGTCATTTCAGACATCGTAAACACTGCTATTTTTCATCATCAATCATCTATAGTAATTTGATGTAATCTTTTTTTTTTGTCAAAATCTGAGCACTAATTATTTTATATTCATATAACAACTATGATATAGACAAAACACTACAGAATTACCTTCTTCATTCACTCGAAGAACATCTCGTATATGCTCTTTTGCTTTGGATAAATCATCGTATGCATCATAAAACACAGATACATCCTCTAGTTTAGCTTTATTTATAAAATTTTGATGATGATCTAAACCAAGTTGAAATATGTTAATCACCGATTATTAATATAGAAAAAATAGACAATAGTTTACTCTTATATTCTGGCGCTGTTGAACTTCGAGCAAAAAATTGTGATTCAGCTAATGACGCTGTATTCGTAGCTGTTGATAATGGTACTTTAATAGGTGGGGATGATTTGTATGATCGTTTATTATCATACAGGTTACCATTGTTATCAACGGCAATATTTTTACTACTACTACCATAATCATTTAATTTTTTAATCGAATTTGTTATTCCTGTTGTTGTTATATCATGAATTGATTTTGCACGTATTCCAGATGAATTTGACGTCGAACCATTATTATAATTAACGTTAATAAAATTGTTTTGAGTTTCCCCTTAAACAATTCAGATAATTATTCTGACAATTCAATTGCTTATTGACATAAAATATGTGTATGTTTTTTGCATACAAAAGTAAGAGAGCGGACATCTTATTTTCTCCCCCTTAAAGAGAATGTAACGTACATTATTATTAGGTTAATACTAAAATACCTCATCTATTTTCATAAAAAGAAATATTTTTGTATTGTGTCATATCAATATTTATCTATGAATACACGTGATGTGGGAGATTAAGGGAAAACAATATACATTATTTCTATATTTCGGATATACGACAAACAAGAAAAACATATTTATTTTATGCATGTATGTTTTTACCATAATAATATATCAGAAGTGAAATATTAGCGTTCTAAAATAGTGCATTTAAAATTTGTACATTAACTCGGTGAAGCGAAAAATATATTTTTGCAGCACAAAATGTTGAAAAGTGAATACTTAATAAAAACTTAAATCTAGACAATGTTTTACCGTATCATCTGCCTAAAAATAAAGTAGACTCAAATATATTTTAATAACGTCTGATAAAAATAAGATAAAATGCTTGTTTTTCAGCATTTTTTATCCAACATCTTGGCTCATCTGTCTGTAGGAAAAGTAAGTTCAAATCTTTTTTTCAGAATGATGCATCTTTTTTAAATTTTTCATTTTTTGAAAAGATTTTGGTTACATCGGCAGATATTCCTAAGTGTCGCCTTCAAAATGAGAGACAAATGAGATCTTCATTTATGACAGCTTGAGGGTGACATATGGTTTTTTGGGAGCTCTGGGACTGCTATGAGATATTCCGTGGGCACCGCAAAAATGCGTGGAACAGCGTGATCGAACGTGCTGAGTTTTATGACAATGTTTATTTTTATTGAAAATTTGGGAAAATCTAATCAAATCTACTTATTATTTTATCTGTCTGATGGCCCAGAATAAATGGCCCTCCTCATATTTTGCTTATAATTTTTTTTCTGTTTAATCCTTATACCTGACTATTTTTCCAAAAGATGCGCCATAAAATTCTCTAGAAGACTTGTACTTCTGAAGAAAGTTAAGGAGAAAAATTAAATGAAAAATCCTTAACATAATGAAACAGACCAATTTTCTAAGCTGAAAAAACGTTTTGTTCAACTACTTTCGTTGAGCTGGATGATAAAAAGAAAAGAATATACGCATTTTGTAGCTCGTGAAAACATCCATCAATCAGTATTAGGTGCACAAATACAAGGATGAGGATCATCGAATCTTTGAGGCTTACCTCGGTTTTCTCCTCTTTGAGGCTTTGCAAAATCCAAGTATTTGAATGTGTACATTTGGAGCTCCTGGAAAATGCTGCATAACGAAACCCACATAGCACCTTTTTAGCTGACCAGGGAAGGTCGCCAAGTGTTACTCTTACTTTCCAATGCGAAATATCCTAATTTGTAGAGCTCGACGAGCTCATTACGATGACATAAAGTATTTTCCGTTATGGCTTTTGGAGACTCGATTTTCTGGAAAACCAGTTTTTCAGAAACTAAAAAATCACCAAAACTTTTCTTAACGAGGCATAATTGTAGCACACACATTTCTGATTAAAATGAGACATCTTTCAGCTCTACACGGGCTTTCTTTGCAAAGTTATAGAATTTACAAGAAAAGCCCTAAATGTTCATTGTCAGCTCAAAGCTATAGAAATAAGAAATTAATTTAGAGCGTTTCTTGTAAATTCTCTAACTTTGCAAAGAAAGCTCGTGTAGAGCTGGGAGATGTCTCATTTTAATCAAAAATGTGTATGCTACAATTATGCCTCGTTAAGAAAGGTTTTGATGATTTTTAGAGTTTCTGAAAAACTGGTTTTCCAGAAAATCGGGTTTCCAAGAGCCATAACGAAAAATGCTTTATGCCATTGTGATCAGCTGGTTGAGCTCTACAAATCAGGATATGCCTCATTGAAAGTGAGAGTAACACTTGGGGACCTTCCCTCGTGAGTCTTTTTTTATTTGAGTGAGAAATGACACCTGTGATAGATCCAGCCGTGAGAGTTAGCTTAAAGCTTTCTTCATAAATTCATCTACTGAATAATTTTAGATAGATTTTAGTCACTTTGATGTGAAACTTTAGAATTTTAGATTTTTCAGTGTTCACTTAGATTTGAACGGACTGTGAACTGCATAAGGAGGAAGAGCGCACTTCAAAATACTCAAAGATATCTTCACTTTTGATTCATTGTCTTTAGAGTTGCTTAAAATATTCTAAAATATTGTAAAACAAAATAGTTTAGAAAGTTGGTCCGTTTCATTATGTTGAGTATTCTTCATTTAATTTTTCTCCTTAACTTTCTTCGGAAGTAAGTTTGATCAAGTCTTCTAGAGAATTTGACGGCACATTTTTTGAAAAAACAGTCAGGCCTAAGGATTGAAAAGAAAAAAAAATTATAAGCAAAATACGAGGAGGACCACCCGATATTTATTCAGATTCGATTGAGCGTTCTTCGAAAGTTCAAAATACATATATTATTTTTGTTGCTTTACATGATTATGTGGTTCAATGTTGAGAAATGATCTGTTTTTGCTTGTGAAGTTTTCAGAAAGTTCTGTAAGGTACAAGATGTTTTCTTTAAATTGATTCTACTTATAGGTTTAACGGATATTCATAGATATTTTAAGGTGAATAATCTAAAAATATTCTTGGTTACGATATTGACTATATGAATAAAGTATTATTATGTTGCGATGTTAAACGTCTGAAGAGCACTGATAATGTAACCACTTACCGATCAATCCTTCTGACTTTGTTGCGTTTTTTGAACTGGCACATAACCTAAAACAAAAAAAAATTATTCCCTTAAGATTTTGCAGTTAGAAAGACAAACGCAATATGAATTAATTTGTTTAAAGTGTTTTCTATTAAAGGTTTCCTCGCTTCTATGAACTTAACGTTGAAACAAAGCATTTGTTCCACTTCATCTGCGTGCATTCGATTGTATTCTCAAATATTAGCTTGAAAAATTATTAGTAATATAATTTATATCAATCATTGAATAATCATATATTACATATATGATATGAGCCGATATACATGGATATATACATACAAATAGGCATGAAATTATTTACTCTTGAAAAGTTACATTTTATCTATTTGTATACAACCTATTAGGATTAGATTAGTATAACTGCACTAAAAGGGTGACTCTGAGTCAAGTATCTTATGGTAAATGCTGAAATAATTGAAACTGGTGAAGAATTGGCAGTATATTGGAAGTTTGACAGAAAACATTATTTGCTGTATCAATTTCGATGTATGTAAAATATTTTTCTATTATTACTAAGTTTCATATCGCACTATAATAAACTAAGAATATGTTGTTTTTGTATTCTGATTCAATCTTAGTTTTGAAAAAAAACGTTAGTGATATTGAAGAAGTGTTTCTACTTAGGAAAATTGTATAATTGTCAGGGGTAAAAAAACGACTGAGTTAAATGAAAATGGTTCAAGTATTCGGTTAATCGTCCATTAAATTATTCGTTATAGGAAAGGAAGGTTATATTCAAACTGTACTACCATTTTTATAATACATCTTCTTCGTCAGGCACTAACGATAAGTTGATGTGCCTCTTTCGATAAAGTTCAACACTATACTTTTTTGTTTCTGACCGAGGTGATGACAAAAGTTGTTTACACATTAGAGAAAAATGTTCATCTCTACGAAATAAAGCTACTTTTAGCAAAATAGTAAATATTTGTCTAAAGGACTGTAGAAAATATAAATAAGAAGAAAAAGTATTTCAGTAGTTCTGGTGTTTTTATCCAAATAAATTTGACTTGTTTGTTCAGTGAAACTTTAGAAAAATTCGGAAATCTCTCGTTTTATGAAAATAACGTTTCTACAATCAAACATTTTTTAGGACAAAATAGATTGAGATAGTGTGAAGTGTCGTATGGTACTAAGAGTGTGTGCCGAAAATTTTCTAATATAAACATAAACTCACCATGCACCCATGATTAAACAGCAATCTTGTGCTGAATGAAATTTTTTACCAAATACTCTTGTCGACGTCAACTCCCCGTGTACTAACTAAAGTTATCTTTTAGTTAATTGATGTATGTAGAAAAACTGCACAACAAAAAAAAAAAAAGAGAGGAAGAGAAGAGAAGGCAAGTCATGAACGTCACGTCATGCTGCCGAGGTTAATAGATATGAAAGAAGCATGTTCTTATAGGAGTAATCAAGCCCTTGTTGTACGCACGTATATTTCTTTTTTTTCCCTTGATTATATAAACTACAACCACCATAGCGAATGATAATAGGCTTTTTTGATAATCAAAAATGCGTATGTGTGTGTATAACAGGAAATACGCAATAAATACAGAAGAGAGTAACCATCTTTCGTTCGACAGAGAGATTTATTCTATTTTTGACTCCTATGGTGTTGAGGTGTTTTCTTTTCATTTCTCTTATTATTACTATTATTCTAATCATTATATACCACCAAAAAGTCGATTTTTCTGTCTTATTAAAAAAGAGAAAGAAGAAAAATGATTGAGTTTAGTTATCGATACATAGATGTTGTTCAATCTATATTTGTGTATGTGATTTTTTTTGCTCTTTAGTTAAAATGAGTGTTAAATATTCTATACATATGTACAAAATGAGAATAAGGTAAAAGCATATCACGATCATACCACAGAAAGTTGTTAAGACAAAGAAAAACATAGACAAAGAGAGTACCATTGTGGAATTAATTTGGTGAAACGATGACAGAGAGAAAATCTATATACATGCAACTATCAAGAGAATAAGGACTATTATGTACCACCAAGTGTAGAAAATAGAGAGAAAGGATCAGTATAAATAGGCATTTTATGAGCATACTGAATGTATATTGCTATAGTGTTTCTCTAATAGTGTAGAACGATACTGCTGCTTTAAGAGATTTGTGTTTAATATTGATATGTACAAAAAGACAAATTCAAGGTTAAAATAAAAGAATCGTTTTTTCTTTCTCAATCCATATGTTTAACTCAACATGCAAATTTGTGAACTGTGAACCAGATATATGACACCAAATCTTCATATAATAAATGTATTTTTCTATGCCATTTAATTTATACACATATATGTTTCACACTTCAAATATCTACATATATTTTTATATTTCGATTCCAGTGAACATAAATGTTACAGATATTACTAAAATTCAAGTAGATTTGATATTCGTATATGTATAACTCAAGTTTCAATTATGTCTAAACAAATCAAGATGTGTAAACATGTGTAATGATAAATATGTCTTGGGGTATCTAAAATTTTATTCATTCCATAGATCCATTCAATCTACTCCTGTTAAGTTAATAATATTTAATTTTTCTTAACCATAGACAATTTTAATCATCGTCTAAAGACAATGTACTGTAGATCCATATTGGCTGACTTTTCTGTACTGAACTTTTATCTATACGAGGGAAAGATGTTACTTCGCTCTTTTAGAAACACCATCTCCCTCGAATTCAAACACAAGTATTTTAACATTTTCATCAGTACGTGTCCTCAGTACGTTAATCATAAAAAATATTTTATTCAATATTTTCACCATTCAAAATCTGTAATTTGATGTTGATACTATACTGTTCAGAGATGCTTCTTTGAAAACTGCTCAAGTTGAAATTTATCATGCTCTTGGTTCTGATATTTCTAATACGGAAAGTTTAAAATAATTTCTGATTCTTTTCTTAATCCTAAATTAAGCCATGTAATCCCATCTAATCACATCTTTCATATCAATCTCTAACATATTCTCTTTTGATGTCTTAATTGACGAAATCGACCATTCAGTACATACTAGCAATCATCATCTGATCTTTTCTTTTGTCTGCTTCATTTAACTGTTTTGTTTCTTTTTCTATTTATTTACTTTTCTGTACACTAACATTGTAATGAGGCAAAACCTCAATTTTCTTCGGTTACTGAAATACAATTTATAACAAAATTTCTAATAGCTCTTGTATATAGTTGATAAATGAGGGAATTTTTTTAACACTGAATTTGAACTTCTAAACTACTGGTCAGTCTAAATTGTGTGGGAGAGGCACTCTTCCGTGAGGAGGGGTGAAATGAGTATAGCAATACAGTAGTTAATACAAGAATACAGTAGCTACTAAAATCATGTTCGGGAACAGTTTTTTGTTTTTATTTTTGAGTTCAGAGAAATGAAGAGAAAAAAAGGGGTTAATTTTCGGCCCGGATCTTCGACGCAGTCCTAAAGTCCTTCATGACTTTTGACCCGAGTCCAAATTCCGAAAGAATATCTGTCGTGTTGGTAATGTAGGGTGCAACAGGCTGCTCAGAAACTTATTAACCAAATAAATTAAGATATGTTAATTAACCTATCTTTGATCTGTCCACTCAGAAATTTTCTTGTTTTCTGAGATGGTCGAACCTTATATGTTCTTGTCTTAAGGCTTAGAGTTACAGTAATTCACAGATCTCCTTTTCTAACTGTTAGTTCCTTTACGCTAGCTATTTTTTATGTAATATTATGTGAAGAAAAGTATTTTTAACATATTCTCTCGACTTATGCGAAAT